ATCCCAGCCGGGTTGCTGGCTGGCCGTGGTAAAACATTACGGGAGGAATCAACTAAGGCCATCTGGCATTGGCTTCTCCTATCAAGGGGTCCCTTGGAAATGGTGCCGAAGAACTGAAAGCTCAGGCAACGGAGCATGGCTTCTCGGAGCATGCACCTTGCTTCTAACAATAGCCATCGCTCGCAGGCTGGAAATTAAACCACGAGGCACACGACGATAATGATTAACTTTCGAAAGTTGGGTGCAATGCAAAAAACCCAATTTATTTCTTCAACCAGAGTGTGAAGAAAGCAAGCTGAGCTTAGTTACATTCGTGCATGCAGTTCATATGCATGTCTGTTTCCCTTATTTTATGGGATCTGGCCCCATGAAGGTTGTTTCATAAACCTGATGCAAATGCTGTCATGGGCTGCTAGATTGTATGTCATATCTCTGGAGCTCCTGTTCAGAGCGGCCAAGCACAACATCACACATTTATATGGTTGGAAGAACAAGAAAATCACTGGATCTCATAAAATACTACCTCCTGTCAGTGAAAGACCTTGAGGGGGAAATGAAAGAACAATGATATTTATTTCATACTATGTCATTATTATACTTTTTTTTATTCAAAATGAAACAATGTCTTTTTTTCTACTCTTGTTAATTTTTTTCAAAAGAATTCCAGTTTCCAAAGTTAGACATTTCATCTATGCTGTCATATTAGACGGCCAACCCATTTGCATTTTATTAGTTTTAGGAATTGCAAAACGATGCACTGCCGCTCAGAGATGCACATTGTATCTAACAAACCAGCACACTTCTTTTTAAAACAATGAGGTGGAACGACTGAAATATTAATATCTGCTTCAAACGATTATTATTGCTCATAATTCAATAGAAACATTGAAGATTGCTGTGTAGAGATTTTAATTTAGTTCACTTAAGTAAAAAATAATGACTTTATGCATTTGCTGAATTTATAACTTTATGAACCCATTAATTTTTAATATAGGGCAGGTTATTTTTTCAATTACTTTAATGCTTTTCAATTCTGCCTTTGTTACGCGAATTCAAAATCCCACCCAGCATCAGGATTATGCAAAGAAATTAACAAACTCACACGAGCACTGTGCAATTGTGCCATGCGCCTTATAAAGGCGTTCCGGGAGCTCGCGATACGTTTCAAATTCGTTGTCACAGCGTGGACGGTGTTATAGAAATATCCAGCATGGAGCTTTGTGGCCTCTCTCTCTCTCTCTTTTGTGTGTGGGTTAGCTTGTGGGATTGGATGCAACGCAGGTGAAGTGATTGACGTGCAGGTCGCTCTCGTACACGAGGGGTATCCCGATTTCTCGAGTTCTCAGCTGGTTAAACAAAATGAACTTCAACTCGGAGTGAACATTGGTCTCGCCAGCTTGGGGTAACATTCTTATTAATCATATGAGACCGTAATTGTCCTAATTTAGTAATGATTAATCATAAAGTAAATTTCAATTGAGTTAAGTTCACTTGTTCTAAATTAATAGTTTCTGTTATTGGAATGTGACTGGGTTTAAACCAAGGTTGTTTTTTCCAAATGTAGTTTTGTTTTTCAGCATGTGCAGGGTGGGACAGGCCTAGGCCAGGTAGCGATCGGATTCACAGGAGAAAGGACTCCTGCAATCACTGCATTAACTACTTTGGCATGGTCTCAGGTGTGTTTCCTGGAAAACCAGGGCTGGCACCACCAAGTGGAGTTGGTTTAATCTCCACATCACTGAATGGCCCCGCTATTAATCCTGTTTATTCACTTTGCTTAACAGGACGCAGTGTCCAGCGACACCCGGACGTTTAGGATGCCCTTGAAAGGGAACAGGGCAACAGCAAGAACACATGCCGCCACACGACTTTACCAACGAGTCCGTGATAAACTCGGGCACATGCATAGCTAAATAGAACATGGAGGCATTTAGCTCAATATTCAATAAGGAACGTGCACTGACAAGTGACGGAATATCCAAGCGGTGACTCTTGGGCTCGTCGTTCACGGCGCGGTGCTCTGACGCCTCACGACGCATCGAGGGCCCCATGTGCGAAGGGGGTTGTGTTTCACAGCAGAATGCCTCTCATTCACAAATCCTCTCGTGCCTGCACTGCCCACCCACTCATCGCAGATAAGCCTTATGCCGGATAGGTATCGCGCGCACGCGCGCGTCTGTGTAGTGTGCGTGTGGTGTGCACCTTTGACTCGTGGTGGCGATGCGTCTTGGGTTTAGAGACAGGCCCTGCTGTGATTTTACTCAAGCGGGGTCCCACCACCCCACCGGGGCCTGCGCGGGCCACCAGTGCCCACTCCTCGCCCCAGCAAGCTCCTCGTGACCAAAGTAAAGTGCGCGCAATAAAGCAGCCTTTACAGGCGAGGGAGGGGTCAAATAAAACACGCAGATAGAGCCGGGCGAGCGATGAAGTGGGGCAGCCAAGCTTTGTCTTTTCAAAGTGCCCATTGTTTTTGCCTTTATATCCACTTTATTTACATTTCATTAGCCAAAGTTACATATTTGTACTTTACCGTGTTACGTTTGGATGCCATTAGCACGAAGGGGTGCAGGGTAACTGCTTCGTGCCGCCCCGGGGCGTGTAATGTCCCTGGGGCTGGTGGGCTTGTGGTTGTAAGTTCTCGGTAACCAGAACGGGTACGCAGTGCCACCCCTCTTCTTCCCACCTGTCCAGAGGCTGCTGCAAGGCTGGGAAGACCAGGCACACGCTGCCTCTGACAAATGTGGATGGAGCATCATGTGTGTGTGTTGGTGCTTGACCTGGTCAAGGCCTATGATACCATCAATAGGCCTGGGCTCTGGGTTGTTCTTCGTGCTTTTGGAGTACCTGACCCTCTGCTCGCGATCATTAAGGACCTTCATGATGGTGAGCGGGCCCGGGTAAAACTACGTGGCCGGGAGTCCGAGCCTTTCCCTGTACACCTTGGGGTGCGACAGTGATGTCCTCTGGCTCCCACATTATTTAACATCTATTTCGACCACATAGTTGGTGAAGCCTTCAATAGCTGTACCGGGGGAATCTCCATATGGTACAGATGTAATGGGAGGCTGATCGATGCCCGGGTGCGGTCAAGGGATGGCTCCCGATTGCTCAACCACGTTACGTATGCTGATTATTTGGTAATAGCTGCTCATTCAGGGGAGGAGTTGGAGACGCTGCTGCTGAGACTGGAGCGTGTCACTCAGAGATGGGGCCTTACCATCAGCCCCACCAAAACTAAGCACCTGCCTGGGTATTTTGTACCATCGGACACTCCACCCCCACAACTCCCAATCGGTGATGGGGCAGTTGTGGAGAGAGTGGAGAGTTTCCCATACCTGGGAAGTGTGCTTATGACCGGCTCCAGTTTAACAGCAGAGGTCTCACTCCGAATCAGTCGAGCGGCAATATCTTTTCATCGGTTGCGTAACGCTGTGTGGAAGCTACCTGGTCTGTCGCTCCGCACTAAGCTTCAGGTCTTCTCGGCCACGGTCATCCCCTCCCTTCTCTACGTTTGCGAAACGTGGACCCCCCTAATGGAACATCTTCGCCGGTTAGAAACATTTAGGCTGGCCTGCCTACGATCCATCCTGGGTTTAACCAGACTGGATTGTGTGAGGAGCTCACAAATTCTTGAAAGATCTGGGCAAGGTCCCATCGGTGAGCTCCTCCGGCGGGCAAGGCTGCGATGGCTGGGTCATGTAGCCTGCATGCCCAGCCACCGCATGCCTAAACAGCTTTTGTTCGGCCGGATCGAGGGGGCTAAACGGGCGCGGCACGGGCTAGAGAAGAGATGGAGTGATGTGGTACAGGAGGACGTGGAGCTGAGTGGACTTGCCGATGACTGGTACCAGCGGTGTCAAGATCGGCCTCTGTGGAGGAGGCTCGTGAAGGACGCTACTGGGCAGTTGGAGGTAGTCGCCCTCCAACAACAACGGAGGGCGGAGGAGCGACGCTCACAACAACGAGCGGAGCGCCGGGTGGCTAAAGCACAGCAGGTTTGGCACAGTAGGGGGGCACAGGTGGTGCATCAGCCAGTTATCTCAGTCAGTCGACCCGTGGCACCTGGGTCTGCCCCGTGACCTTCTGCCAGCGGGCGTTCGACACTCCACGTGGCCTCAAGGTGCACATGTCCTGGCACAAGCGTCGTGGTGATGTCACTGCCACTTAGTGGCGAATGGCGGTTGTTGTTGTTGGTGCTAGGTGATTCGGGAGCGGTAGTGCAGCGGTTAGCGCGCTGCGCTATGAACCTGGCGACCCAGGTTCGATTCCCGCTCAAAGTCAATACCAGTGATGATTAACTGAACCGGTTCTGGGCATTCCCATAGCTCGACTCAGCCTGGAATGAGTACCTGGCGCGGCCGGGCGTGGTGCTAGCTACCCACCCCCTCGTGTGCCGTGCCGGCCTTCGTTGGTGCTCGTTTACAGCACTTGCTCCTACAGTCTGGTCAGGCTATAAGGGGGATCTTTGTCTTATGCATTCGGTAGCGGTAGTGTAGCGGTTAGTGCGCTGCGCTACGAACCCGGCTCACGGCCAACACCAGTGACAAGTATCAGCACTGGTGAGACAAAGGCAGCCGAGCGTGATGCTGGCCACCCAACCCCCTCGTGTGCCGTGCCGGCCTTCACAGAGGTTCTCACCAACAGCACTTGCCCCAAGAGTCTGTTGAGCCTACACCGGGGTGGGGGTAATTTTATCTTGGCTGTGGGTGTGTGGGCCGGGCTGGATCTGGGTGTGAACCGGGCTAACCTGGACAGAAGCAGCAGCTGCTGCCAGAACTCGCCCGCGCGGGCCCCCGAATCCGGTCCCATCGCCCGGGGCCACAACCCGGTCCCCACTTAACCCGACCGCCGTTGGCTCAGGTCGCGTGCCTCCACGTGGTGGGCGGGGTGGGAAACGCTTGAGAGCCCACTCGGTAATCTTGCGAATTAAAGCAATAAAAAATAGAGAGCGCCCTTAAAGAGCCGCGCGCGTAGCACGTGCCGCCGAGAGGACTTCTGATCACAGCGTGAGACGCACAGGAGCGCAGGAGACTACCCCCCCCCCCTCTCTCGCCCTCGCCTAGAGGCGGTGACCGACACCCACGCGTGACCCCGTCTCCTCCTGCGCGTCTGTGATCGACCACCGCGAACCGGCCTGCGTTCACTCGCACCTGCAGCCAAGGTGCTCACAGCGCGAGAAGGGGGCCGCGGCACCATCGCAAAGAAAAGACGGTAACGATTAATGGACGGCGTCATAATCGCAGTCATCGTGATCGCCGTCGTCGTCGTCACGGTCATCATCGTGATCACCGCGACGGTGATCACGAGTCGAACGCGTTTTGCGCCGTACGCGAAAGTGCCGATGGCACCGTGACTTGAGCAGGTAGGGTGTGGGGTGGGGGGGTTAAAATAGTTGAATTGTGATGCGTCGTTGTGCCATATTTGCGAGTTGTTCCCGAGTCGTCACCTGTAGAAACCGCGTCGAGGTGGCATTTTGGTGTCGCCTAGACGAGATGATTTCGACGTTTAAGGCGCCTGACCTTCGTGAGGACACACACGTCCCGCGCAAAACTAAGGCACCGCTCCCAACTGCATTGGCGCTTCGGAGACAATCCCCGCAGGCCGCGTCTCGCGCCTCGTCTGAGAGAGAATCCCAATGCGCGGGGTGCTGTAATCCAACGTTTGGTTCATTACCCCGCGGCGAGACGGCCGCGCGTGTGACCGACCCGACGCGCAGGCCGCCGCGAGCACGCCGACGATCATTTAACGCGTGAGCTCGTCGCCCGCTAGATGAAACGGGCTAATGGCGCGGCATACGTTGTGGGAAAAAAAAGTATTTGATCCCCTGCTGATTTTGTACGTTTGCCCACTGACGAAGAAATGATCGGTCTATAATTTTAATGGTAGGTGTATTTGAACAGTGAGAGACAGAATGACAAGAAAAACATTCCAGAAAAACGCATGTCAAAAATGTTGTTAATGATTTGCATTTTAATGAGGGAAATAAGTATTTGACCCCCTCTGAAAACATGACTTAGTACTTGGTGGCAAAACCCTTGTTGGCAATCACAGAGGTCAGACGTTTCTTGTAGTTGGCCACCAGGTTTGCACACATCTCAGGAGGGATTTTGTCCCACTCCTCTTTGCAGATCTTCTCCAAGTCATTAAGGTTTCGAGGCTGACGTTTGGCAACTCGAACCTTCAGCTCCCTCCACAGAATTTCTATGGGATTAAGCTCTGGAGACTGGCTAGGCCACTCCAGGATCTTAATGTGCTTCTTCTTGAGCCACTCCTTTGTTGCCTTGGCCGTGTGTTTTGGGTCATTGTCATGTTGGCATACCCATCCACGACCCATTTTCAATGCCCTGGCTGAGGGAAGGAGGTTCTCACCCAAGATTTGACGGTACATGGCCCATTCCATCGTCCCTTTGATGCGGTGAAGTTGTCCTGTCCCCTTAGCAGAATAAGACCCCCAAAGCATAATGTTTCCACCCCCATGTTTGACGGTGGGGATGGTGTTCTTGGGGTCATAGGCAGCATTCCTCCTCCTCCAAACACGGCGAGTTGAGTTGATGCCAAAGAGCTTAATGTTGGTCTCATCTGACCACAACACTTTCACCCAGTTATCCTCTGAATCATTCAGATGGTCACTGGCAAACTTCAGACGGGCATGTATATGTGCTTTCTTGTGCAGGGGGACCATGCGGGCGCTGCAGGATTTCAGTCCTTCACGGCGTAGTGTGTTACCAATTGCTTTCTTGGTGACTATGGTCCCAGCTGCCTTGAGATCATTGACAAGATCCTCCCGTGTAATTATGGGCTGATTCCTCACCGTTCTCATGATCATTGCAACTCCATGAGGTGAGATCTTGCATGGAGCCCCAGGCCGAGGGAGATTGACAGTTCTTTTGTGTTTCTTCCATTTGCGAATAATCGCACCAACTGTTGTCACCTTCTCACCAAGCTGTTTGGCAATGGTCTTGTAGCCCATTCCAGCCTTGTGTAGGTCTACAATCTTGTCCCTGACATCCTTGGAGAGCTCTTTGGTCTTGGCCAAGGTGGAGAGTTTGAAATCTGATTGATTGATTGCTTCTGTGGACAGGTGTCTTTTATAAGGTAACAAGCTGAGATTAGGAGAACTCCCTTTAAGAGTGTGCTCCTAATCTCAGCTCGTTACCTGTATAAAAGACACCTGGGAGCCAGAAAGTTTTCTGATTGAGAGGGGGTCGAATACTTATTTCCCTCTTTAAAATGCAAATCAATTTATAACATTTCTGCATGCGTTTTTCTGGATTTTTTTGTTATTCTGTCTCTCACTGTTCAAATAAAGCTACCATTAAAATTATAGACTGATCATTTCTTTGTCAGTGGACAAACGTACGAAATCAGCAGGGGATCAAATACTTTTTTCCCTCACTGTAAGTGAGGCATCCTTGCGCGCCTGTAGGCTTGCCTGCGTGAGAGAGCCTGGTGAGGAGACATGACCTGCGTGTGGGGAGCGGTGGTGCAGCGGTTAGCGCTGCGCTACGAAACCGGCTTCCCGAGTTCGACAATATCAGTGACGATTATCTGGACCAGTAATGGGCCTCCCCTAGGTCGACTCAAATGAGTACCTGGTGTGGTGTGTAAACATCACCACTGGGGAGACAAAGGCGGCCGGGCGTGCTGTTAGCGAGCAGCTATGATGGCGAGAACTTGCCCCAACAGTCTGTTAAGGCTATATGGGGGATCTTTGCCTTTTGTCCATAGGGGGGTGCGGGGCCAGGGGAAAAATTCCACTGTAAAAGGCCCTTGACGTCGAAACGCGGGGCCCCCCAAAGTGCGGGGCCCGAGGCGGTTGCTCCGATTTTTCCGTACCCTAGGGACAGCTCTGGGAGTGTGTGTAGCGCTCAGCAAGGGGTTAGGGTTACTGATGGCCCTAACTTTAAGTGTGTGCGTGTGAAAATGTAATGATCATCCTCCCTCAGTGACTGAATCTCAAAACAAGTCGCACTGTTAACGCCGCCATGGATTATTTCATTGTTATCTTACAGAACACAGAATTACTGCGCTAATCACGTGTGCGTAGGGCTGTTTGCATTGGCAACAGCAATCAGCCACACACACACACGTGTGTCTGTGTGCGCGCGTGTTACACACCCATTCTCCAAGTTATAAGCGTTATCAGTAGCCCGCTGCACATCTACCACGGGCTTAGTTGTGGTGATACGGATTTAATGGTGGTGGTAACACGGGTTTAGTGGTGGTGGGGACACGGAGATAGTGGTGGTGGGGACACGGGGTTAGTGGTGGTGAGGACACGGGGTTAGTCGTGGTGATATGGGTTTAGTGGTGGTGGGGACACGGGGTTAGTGGTGGGGACACGGGGTTAGTAGTGGTGGAGACACGGGATTAGTCGTGGTGATATGGGGTTAGTGGTGGTGGGGACACGGGGTTAGTGGTGGTGGGGACACGGGGTTAGTGGTGGTGAGGACACGGGGTTTTTAGTGGTGATATGGGGTTAGTGGTGGTGGGGACACGGGGTTAGTGGTGGGGACACGGGGTTAGTGGTGGTGGGGACACGGGGTTAGTGGTGGGGACACGGGGTTAGTGGTGGTGGGGACACGGGGTTAGTGGTGGGGACACGGGGTTAGTGGTGGGGGAGACACGGGGTTTGTAGTGGTGATATGGGTTTAGTGGTGGTGGGAACACGGATTTAGTGGTGGCGATACGGGTTTCGTAGTGTTGGGGACACGGGTTAGTGGTGGTAACATGAGTTTATTGGTGGTGGGGACACGGGATTTTGTAGTGGTGACATTTGGTCTCTTGTTGATGACACGGGTCTAGAGGTGCTAATACTAGTCTAGAGGTGCTAGTACGAGTCTAGGGGTGATAGTACGAGTCTAGAGGTGCTAGTACGAGTCTAGTAGTGCTAATACGAGTCTAGAGGTGCTAATACGAGTCTAGTTGTGCTAATACGAGTCTAGAGGTGCTAACACGAGTCTAGAGGTGTTAATACGAGTCCACACGTGCTAGTACGAGTCTAGAGGTGCTAATACGAGTCTAAAGGTGCTAGTACGAGTCTAGAGGTGCTAGTACGAGTCTAGAGGTGCTAATACGAGTCTAGAGGTGCTAATGCGAGTCTGGACGTGCTAATACGAGTCTAAAGGTGCTAGTACGAGTCTAGTGGTGCTAGTACGGGTCTAGAGGTGCTAGTACGAGTTTAGAGGTGCTAGTACGAGTCTAGAGGTGATAGTACGAGGCTAGAGGTGATAGTACGAGTCTAGTAGTGCTAATACAAGTCTAGAGATGCTAATACGAGTCTAGTGGTGCTAACACGAGTCTAGAGGTGTTAATACGAGTCCAGACGTGCTAGTACGAGTCTAGAGGTGCTAATACGAGTTTAGAGGTGCTAGTACGAGTCTAGAGGTGCTAGTACGAGTCTAGAGGTGCAAGTACGAGTCTAGTAGTGCAAGTACGAGTCTAGAGGTGCTAGATGCTAATACGAGTCTAGAGGTGCTAATACGAGTCCAGACGTGCTAGTACGAGTCTAGAGGTGCTAATACGAGTCTAGAGGTGCTAATACGAGTCTAGAGGTGCTAGTACGAGACTAGAGGTGCTGGTACGAGTCTAGAGGTGCTAATACGAGTCTAGAGGTGCTAGTACGAGTCTAGAGGTGCTAATACGAGTCTAGAGGTGCTAATACGAGTCTAGAGGTGCTAATACGAGTCTGGACGTGCTAATACGAGTCTAAAGGTGCTAGTACGAGTCTAGTGGTGCTAGTACGGGTCTAGAGGTTGCTAGTACGAGTCTAGAGGTGCTAGTACGAGTTTAGAGGTGCTAGTACGAGTCTAGAGGTGCTAGTACGAGTCTAGAGGTGCTAATACGAGTCTAGAGGTGCTAATACGAGTCTAGAGGTGCTAGTGCACGTCTAGAGGTGCTAGTACGAGTCTAGTAGTGCTAATACGAGTCTAGAGATGCTAATACGAGTCTAGTAGTGCTAATACGATTCTAGAGATGCTAATACGAGTCTAGTGGTGCTAACACGAGTCTAGAGGTGCTAGTACGAGTCTAGTAGTGTTAATACGAGTCCAGACGTGCTAGTACGAGTCTAGAGGTACTAATAGGAGTCTAGAGGTGTTAATACAAGTCCAGACGTGCTAGTACGAGTTTAGAGGTGCTAGTACGAGTCTAGAGGTGCTAATACGAGTCTATTGGTGCTAATACGAGTCTAGAGGTGCTAACACGAGTCG